CCTGTTGCGAACACATCTTGTTGACAAGCTTGCTACAAGCCTGTTGCGAACACATCTTGTTGACAAGCTTGCTACAAGCCTGTTGCAAACGCATCTTGTTGACAAGCTTGCTACAGGCCTGTTGCGAACACATCTTGTTGACAAGCTTGCTACAAACCTGTTGCAAACACATCTTGTTGACAAGCTTGCTACAAGCCTATTGCAAACACATCCTGTTGACAAGCTTGCTACAAACCTGTTGCGAACACATCTTGTTGCAAACACATCTTGTTGACAAGCTTGCTACAAGCCTGTTGCAAACACATCTTGTTGACAAGCTTGCTACAAGGCTGTTGCAAACACATCTTGTTGATAAGCTTGCTACATGCCTGTTGCAAACACATCTTGTTGACAAGCTTGCTACAGGCCTGTTGTGAACACATCTTGTTGACAAGCTTGCTACAAGCCTGTTGCAAACACATCTTGTTGACAAGCTTGCTACAAACCTGTTGCAAACCATCTTGTTGACAAGTTGTGAGATTTTTACGTGTGCAGAAGCGCTTGCTTTGACATTTTAATCAAGATGTGTCCAAAATATAGAAGAATTTGTACCGTTTACAGGATAACGAAGTGAATTCAAACTCGATAACGTCTGCACCCTTGTCAGAAAACACTCGACAAGCAAGCGAGAATGGAAACGAAACAACAGGAAGCAAAAAGAAACGAAAAAAGAAGAAAAAAACGAAACGGAATCAAACCGCTCCGAGCGACGATGGAGAAAATAGCGACACAGGAGTGGTTTTGAAACCACTTGCTTGGAAAACACCGCCAGCCTCCTTAAATGGTTTCCCTGGCAACGGCAGGAAATTAGAACCAATCAGGGCTCCCTTGCATAACAGTAAGTTTTAGTATATTTTTATATCATTAAACTTTGCCTACATACAAGTAAGTTTTTACAAGTAACTTTATTACAGAAATCAATTTCCTCTGAAGAAGTCACTCTTTGAAACTGGCCAAGATCTAAGAATGACTCGCATTCTTTCGTAATTCAAAACGTCTGTTAAGACAATGAAGTTTTTAAGACAATTAAGTTTTAACACATGAAATACCAGAAACCAATAAATATGTAATTTGCTTGTGTTGTTACTCTGAGTGTATATCCACACCGGGCAAGCTTTAAAAATGTGCCTGACCACGGTGGGAATCGAACCTACGACCTTTGGAATACCAGCCCAATTTTCAAGCTTGCCCGGTGTGGATATACACTCAGAGTAACATCACAAGCATCTTATTCACCTGAGTACATATTACACCCACACAGAGAAAATCAAGTATGTAATTACCTCCGCCAGGAGGTAATGTAATCATCTGGGTTTGTATGTGTGTGTGGGTGTGTGTGTGTGTGTGTGTGTGTGTG